GCCTCGTCTATTTGCTTGAGGTTCAAGAGGACCTCTTCAATTGGGTCATCTTCCACGTCCACATCCCCCAAAGGCATGTTTCCGAGAGGATCATTGGTTAGAGCCATTTTTTCTACATATAATCGATTCACAAAAAGGTTAGTAACCCGGATGGAAAAGAAGACAAGTCACACACAAAACCAAATATATAGCTAAATCCGTTTTTAGCTCCTCGGCAACGACGCCAAAAATTTATGTCGCCCAAACTCACACCACTAATTTAGGTTGCGAGGTGGTCGATGTAATAATACAAATTCAACGCGAGTCGGGGTCAATTCCATAAGGAGCTTGATGTGGGATTAGGTATATATCTAGTGTGAATGTATGACGTGCCTAAGATTACACTTCCACATTTTCAATTGTTGTTTCTACTTCTACTTTTACACTAATGCTTGCAATTGTAAAGCTAAGAGATAATATTTTTGGTTTTGGTTGTTTTTCAAGTTATAAAAGATCTAGGGTTGCGACTTCCGCCTAGTCGGTTACCTAATGGATTTATATCTTTAGGGCATGTTTGGTTGATCGGGATACAATATAGCAATCACACCTAATTACTCACTCTATACCTCTTGGTAGTTTGAGTGATTTTGCCCAATTCGTCTTTCTCAAGTCCAAATGGGTATCTCATGAAACAAGTGATAAATGCTCAAGTCGGGTCTTACTATCTCTAGACTAGACCCTTTAATTGGGGCTATCAATTTCTTGAGTTCACCCCAATTTCTTGTTATCCAAATTTTCCTAGACTTAGTCACATTCCCTCAAGTAGAGACTAAGTCAATTAGGCATGAATCAATGTTTGCAACCATCAATTCTCAAAATCAAGCAAGAACGAGTCTAAAATTCATATACTCAATCACAAATAAGCCCTAAATCAATCACTCATTAAGTACCCATACTAGAGTTGGATCACAACCCTAGCTAAGGGTTTAGCTACTCATGGAAAATGAAGAAATTAAAGAAGAAACTAAGATAAAATGCATAATAATTGATTAAGGAAAGAAAATCTAATGTTTAAATGCTAAACTAGTACAAAGTTGCCCAATACAGTAAATAAAAACGGCTCTGAATGTTCAGGTGCACCAAACTTAACCTAAAAATGACAAAAAGATCTATTTATACCCATCTGAAAATATCTAAAAAAAAATTCCCTGCGAAGGTTGTGCGCCTCGAAATTCTGTGTGTGATCCGCACTTTGAGACTGACTGGTGGGTATGGCTTTCTGCGGTCGCACAAAAGTGAGATGCGACTGCACTTCCTCTCATTGGGACCACACATATTTGAGTGCGGCAGCACTCTTGCTCTAGGACTGGATCAGGGTCCCATTTTGCGGACCGCACATTTATGAGTGTGGCCGCATTTTGGCATCTTGCGGCCGCACAATAATAGTGCGGTCTGCACATCTTCAAGCTCCCAAACTTCAGCTCTCTGAATCTAGTCTTCTGCGGTCGCACAATAATTGTGCGGTCTGCACTCTATGAAGAAAATCTATCAGAGCCTCTTCAGAGTTTGCGGCCGGACACAGTATTGTGTGGTCCGCACTGTAGCCATTTTTGGTTGTTATATAATTTTACTCCTTTTTGAGTTGATTTTCACTTCTTTGGCTCGTTTCCCAATATTCCTGCAAGAAAGCACATTTCATTAGTTCTCGAGAGTACCTTTAAGCATTTTTTGAGCTAAAACGTAAATAAAAGAGAGTAAATAAGCGGTCAAAATCCCTACTTATCATTTGCCATTCGATCAGTGTAGAGAGATGGAAGAATTCGAGAGAGATTTAGGGTTTTGAATCTTTGATCTTTAGAAAATATGAGATGAATAAAAGGGGCAAGGTCAGATCAATTTAAAGAGGGAGAGGTTGAGTGTCTAGTGATAGCTTTTTGGAGATAGAAGTCTTTTCTCATTGGGAGTTTTGGTTTGAAAAGACATTGGACTATTCCCAAAAATCTCGACAATTATGACGTGTGGTTTCTTGTGGTGAAATTGGTCCGTTTGTAACTAATTGGTTCTAAAAGATTTTGGTATAAAGTGGGACTCTTTTCAGATCATGATTCATATGCAGTTATTTCATTTTATGCGGAGTGTGGAATACATAACTTATAAGCTCAATGAACTAGGTTCTTCAATGAAATTTTTTGTGTAAGACTAAATTTTCCAAAAAATTAAGGGTAATATCATTAGACATACATGAGAAATTTTAGTACATAGCACAAGAGTATACTAATAAAAGTATAAGACAGAGCAATATCTAATCTAATTATTTACAAAAGTAAAATATTATCTAACCAACCATTAACTTAGAACCGGTTTCTTATAGGTAATCTTAATCATCCCTAATTCTAATATGGTACTTTCAAAGTTATCCCTACTCAAAGCTTTTGTGAAGATGTCAGTAATTTGCTTATCAGTAGCACAAAATTCCATAATGATCAAACCCTTCTCAAAATTATCCGTTAAAAATGATGCCTAACATCTATGTGCTTAGTTCTTTTATGATGAAGCGGGTTCTTGGTCATACTGATTGTACTAGTATTGTCACAAAAGATAGGAATACAACACACATCAATTCTAGAGTCCATTAATTGATATTTAATCCACAATAATTTAGCACAACATGAGGCAACAACCATATACTCAGCTTCAGCAGTAGATAAGGCCACATAATTTTACTTTTTGATGTCCCAAGATACAAGATATGAACCAAAAAAACGTGTCATACCTAAAGTACTCTTTTTATCCACAATAATATCTGCATAATTAGTATCAGCATATCCCACCAAAACAAAATTACCACATTTTAGATACCATTGGAAAAGATTAGTTGTGCCTTTTAAGTATCTCAACATCCTCTTGACTGCCTTCAAGTTAGACTCCTTTGGATTTGCCTGAAACCTAGTATAAAGGCCTACACTAAAAATAATATCAGGTCTACTAGCGGTGAGATATAACAAAGAGCAATCATTCCCCTATACATTTTCTAATCAGCAGATGAACTAGGTTCATCCAAATCCAATTTCGTGGTAGCCATGCTCAAGCACGAATTTGGACAATCTTTCATAACATGCTCTTGGGACCTACTTGAGCCCATATAGTTCTTTGTCAAGCTTGTACACATGCTTGGGACATTCCTTGCTTTCAAAGCGAGGAGGTTGCTTAATAAATACTTCTTCCTTTAGATAGCCATTGAGGAAGACACTCTTGATATCCATCTGATGGAGAGTGAATTCCATGTAAGCAACAAAGGCTATAAGGAGTCTAATTGCTTCCAATATTACAATTGGAGCAAAAGTCTCATCATAGTCTATGCCCTCCTCTTGACTATATTTTTGAACCACCAATCTTGCCTTGTTCCTTGTAACTGTTCCTTCTTCATCAAGTTTGTTTCTGAAGACCCATTCAGTGCCAATCATTTTTCTGTCATTGGGTCTTGGTACCAAATGCCAAACTTGACTTCTCTCAAATTGGTTGAGTTCATCTTGCAATGCATTCACCCAATCTGCATCCTGCAAAGCCTCAAAAATATTTTTAGGTTCAATAAGAGACAAGAAAGCATCAAAAGCAAAGAGAGATTCTTTAAAGAAGATCTGATTTTGATTACAGAGGTTAGATTAGTGATTATGTTTCCAATGGGATGAGAACTTTGATACTTGTAAGGTTTCACAACCAACTGATTTTTTCTAGATGTTCCTTCATTGTTTTGTTGTTGAGGAACAGATTGATAGACAGGTTCCTTCGATGTTTAAGGATCAGTTCCTCTCTTATCAGTTCCCTTGTCACGTTTCCCTGGGTGGAAGGGCCTAGTCTATCACATGTTCCTTCTTGTAATCCAACATTTGAACCTCTTATCAGCCCAATCTCTTCATTATCATGTTCCTTTCTCTAAAAAATAATGTTAGTTTCATCAAAAACAACATGTATACTTACTTCTACATACATAGTTCTTTCATTGTAAATCTTATATGCTTTACTATGTGAAGAATATACAAAGAATACTCCCTCATCACTTCTGGGATCAAACTTTCCTAGGGAGTCTTTTCCATTATAGCGAACAAAGGACTTGCTTTCAAGTGCCCTAAGATGGGATATATTTAGCTTTCTCCATTTAAGTAACTCATAGGGAGTTTTTTCAACAAGAGGTCTAGTCATACACCTATTTATGATGTAGCATGCAGTGTTCATCCTTTCTGCCTAGAAGCTATAAGGCAACTTACTAACAAGTAACATGGTCCTAACCATTTCCTCTAAGTCCTATTTTTCTTTCAACTACTCCATTTTGTTGTGGAGTTCTAAGAGCAGAAAAATTATGATCTATGCCAAATTCATCACAAAATTCAGAAAAATTTTCATTCTCAAACTCAGTACAATGATCAGACCTAATTGATGCAAGTTGATTACCTAGTTGTTTTTTAGTTTTTCTAACAAATGAAGTGAACACTACAAGAAATTTGTCTTATTGTGGCGACTAAAGTCGCTACAAATGCTCCAAGAGTCAGCCACAAGATACCTTTAGTAGCAACTACAAGGTTGCTGCAACAACCACCATAACTAAATGTTACGTGCGGCAACAATTGAAGTCACCACAAAACAAGACATATTTGTAGCGACTTTACCCGCCACTAAAAGTAAATAAATATGACACAAGAGTTTCACAAAAAGAGGTGTTAAATAAGTCGATGCTGAAGAATAACCTTTGGTGGCGACTATTGTCGCCGCTAAAACATTATACCTTCCAGTGACATCTTTAATCGTCACAATTCCTGATGTATAGTGTTAATCTTAGTCGCTACAAAAAACCAATAGCATTTGTGACAAGCTTCCACTGAAACCACTTTTTCTTTCAAACTACAACAGCCAAAATTTGTAATATATTTCATATGCGACCTAACTTCCGAAAACTAATACACATAGATTTCTATCAATTACCTACAACACCAAAAGCATCCATATTATTCAACAAACACCAAAAATATTTCTCAAGCTAAATATTATAAATACTTCCTTTACTAAAAAGTTAATAAAATACTATACAATACTTTATTGTTCATATTGTCATTGTACGCATATAATAATGACTAGAAAATAAAACACTAAACGCCTTCAAACTCCTTGGTCGACGACATTTGTAATATTTGAGAGCCTTGTTCCTGTTATGAAAAAAATACATTGATCACTTTGACATTTCTCATAATATAATGTCAAAAGGTGTCCAAGGTAACATTATTATAGATGATTGTGAAACACATTTAATATGAGTGCGAAGGGCAATATGACCAAGCAAAGTTTATGTTAAAACAATTAACATCTCTATATAATATAGTCAATCGAGCAGATCCACCCTTATCAAATTACTTTAATGAAGTAAAAACAGAAAAAGAAAATGGTATTCCTCGACAATAAAGTAATGATTTTGTACGAGTTGTTCATCTTCAGACATGTTACTAGTGTACAACATTATCACTTGTGTGCTACAAGCTATTTAGGCAATTTATCATAGCTTCAGCACATGCATTTTTCTTAACTTTCTATTAGACAATGTGACACACTCTAAGACAAGCAATTCATAAAAGTATCATTATCACACTCTCATTTAATGCTTAAGTACTCTTGCTTCAAGGTCGTTGTATAAAATGTGTCACGAAGTAGCTAGGCACAAAATAAATGCAGCAAGAAACAAAGTTTCAGATAGCTAGAGTAATTTTTTATTTTCTTACGCTCGTAGCAGAAATAAACCATAAAGTTAGCTTACACCCACTAGACAAGAAGCTTAATCCCCCACGACTAAAATCATTGGAGTCCATATTCAACTCTTAGTTGCCACAATATTTAACAAATGGACCATGTTACATGGACTATAAACAAGGATGTGTTACAAATATGCAAAAGTATTAATTATACTAGTTGTAATTCAATCAACTCTGAGAAAAAAGAAATAAACAACAAGAATGTAATCCACACTACCCTAACTGACCAAGCAAAGGGACAATTTGACTAGCAAAGATTTTGATAAAACAGAAGTTTGTAATAGGTTACGCCATCTCGTCAAAGTCAACTAAACCAATCCACAAATCCTTCAAAATACTATGCGATCAATTGAAATTAGCAGTGACATGCACCACAAACAGAGTATCAAGCATTCACCGTCAAAAATAACAGATTCAAAATATTATGGTGGAGGGTGTTCAACAAATGCCATCAACACAAAAGCAAAAAACATAAATATCATATGGTGGAGGGTATTATACGTCAAGACCTTACTTAAAAATTTTCAAGCTCACAATTGAATCATTAAAGATGTATTACAATTACGTGCCTATTTCTCATTCTTTGTTCCTCAATAAAGAATTATGCAAATTGTATATTTCTTGTTGATAAAAATCTTGTACACAATGCTCATCTTGAATTACACCATTAACTTTAAAGTGGAAAATATGGCTCTAGTTGGACTAAGAAACTTAATTTTCAGCTTCAATTTTCTCCTAGAACCAAAACCTTAATCTGTAGTAAAGTAGTTTTATGAAACTTTTACACGCAAAGCATAGCTAAAGTAGAGCTCTTTTTTGGGCATACAAGGTTTTGAAGTCCAACAAGCTCATTAGACTGCATAATAAATTTGTTTGACAGTCTTTCATGGTTATAAGACTTACTTCGACCATGAAGACTGCAACAACAACAACATGCCCAATATTATTCCACACTATTGGGTTTGGGGAGAATAGTGTATACGCAGACCTTATCCTTACCTTGTGAGAATAGAGAGGTTATTTTCAGTAGACCCTCGGGTCAGGAAAGTATAAGCACCACATTAATGAAAATATAGGGGACAGTACCAAAAACCATATAAAAGCATACTAAAAATAACAAGATAGTAAGGTGATCAACAATGAAAGAAAACAACGGTTAATCATAAAACCTACTACCAGCAGAAAGCGAGACAAAAGAGGGATGCAACACGAGGACTTCCCATGGGGTCACCCATCCTAGTACTACTCTTGCCCAAGCACGCTTAGCTACGGAGTTCTGATGGGATCCGGTGCGTTAGTGCTGGTATGATCGCATCCTCGACCATGAAAGACTATAATGTAGTAATATCCCATTAATATTTTACACGTACCATGAAATCTCCTAGTTTTAAAAGCTAAAACCAAGTGTTTTATAATCAAATTTCACAATAACTGCCAAACTCAAGTTAGCACAGTTAGTTTGAGACAAAAGGAAGGACTACATATTAAGAAGTCGGGAATGGTAGGAACTAAAAAGAAGAGCAATAAACTAAACAAAAGAAAATAAATATCCCCAACAACTTACTCGTAAATAATGGAGGAAAATATTATATCACAAATAATGAAACAGGTTTGTGTCCAAAATCAACTAAAAAAGCACTGATTTCAAGCCCCATAACTAGAAAAGAATCAACATAGAATGAAACACCACAGTAAGACAGACAGAGCAAAGTAGAGCCTACATCAAAGTACATGCAAAATAAAAAAACAGAAGAGTCAAAGTGTTAGATAACATGGCATTCTAGTGAATTGAAAAAAAAAAATTTCAAAGGGGTAACTATGGCAAACCCTAGTAGAACAAATCCTTATTTATATCCAATAACCCAAAGATCACCTTCTTTTATAGAAATTTTCTGAATATCAAACATATTAGTAGGATTTGATAAAAAAGAATAAAAAAAATAAAAAATAAATATATCAAATTAGAAATCACGGCAAAAAGAAAGTAAAAAGGACCTTGAACAACACCATTCTTTCTCAACTTTGACTTGCATCTCACGGGGAGCAGCAACTCCATCTTCTATTTCCTTTAATCGTTTCATCATCTCATCCAATTCCTGAGAATTAATCAGATCCACTCATAATCAATAATAATATTTGTGTATTCATATATAACATGAAATTTGATATCCATATTTTTGGCATAGGACGATAGCAATTAATTTAATACTCCAAACAGAATAAAACAACAATTAGGCTTACTACTTACGATTGGCTTTGCTGTATTAATCTTCCATATAATTCCACTCAAGTTGTGTCCGTATGATCCTACTAAGATACTCCAAAAGGATATAAAAATAAAAAATTTTGTCCGTGTGCATAGACTAGAATAGGAATTTAATTATGTCAACTAAGAGGAGTTGAAATATTACAGCAACCAATAAACTCATCTGTACTGAAAATTGGATCTTTCATTTTCAAGGACAAGCCGAAATTCATCAATGTCTCCGGTAATATTTTAATCAGTTAAGATAGATAACTCTATGCGAAAGAAAGTATCATTATAGTAGTTTCAAATAAGGCGTGCAACCGGCACTCTTTTTAGGGGATTAACAAAAAATTTCTTATTTCCATCTAATAACCCAAAGATCACGATTTGTTTTACAGAAATTGTCAGAATATCAAACATCATCCACTAAAAGTAACAGATCAAACAAAAATCAAGGATAAAAAAGTAAAAAGACGACCTTGAACAGAACCCATGTCTTTCGCAACTTTGGCTTGCATCTCACGAGAGCAACAGATTCATATTCCATCTCCTTTAATCATTGTTTCATCTCATCCAATTCCTTACAAATAAAAGGTTTCAGATCGACTACTAATTAGGGCTTTTCACAGAAAAAGAGAAGTGCTAATAATGCTAGAGACAAAGGGTAACTTAACGGCTTCGTCATCGGGGTCACTATGATGTTCTATAACTCCTTCCATTTCAGCTTTCATTTGGGAAAACCTTCCGTTGGCGATGGAGTTTTGAAGAAACGTTCCACGACCGGGTTTCGGTTTTGGAGAAACGAAGCTGTTATGATTTTGAAGACGATGGGCTTCAATTTTGGAGAGACATTGGGGATGTGGATTTGGAGAGACGATAGACTCCCTGGGAGATAAGGGTTTTGGAAAGATATGGATTAGTTGTAGTGAAATAAGATTCTTTATTTACTGCTTGATTTTTTATTTACTCTATGAAAGTTTTATTTTTAAGTGCTGCCAATAGAGGCGACTTAGTCGCTCCAAAATTTGATTAGTGGCGATTAAATGGGTCGCCAGTAAAGATTTTTGGCCTAAATTTTTGTTAATCACGGGAGTCGAAAATTTTCACCTAGAGTGGCATGTACTAGCAGCGACTCCTTAAAATCTGCCACTAATTGTGGAACTTTCTGTAGCGACTTGACTTGTCGGTCCTAAAACCGCAACTTTCAACGACAATTAGATTACTCGCCACTAACCCACATTTAGTTAGGCCCGAATTTGATTTAAAGTGGCCCAACCTGTCTTTGTCTCCTCGAGGAAAATAATACGGGGCTGCTTTGAAGAAACCATGTCCTTCAGTTCTTGAATTGTCCTTGGGTTCCCAAGCCCACGACAATTCCAGCATAGAGAACTCATTGGGCTTGGTGGGTGTGGGATCCAGAGCCCGCCACTAACAAGGTTTTTGACCCATCCACAATGCTCAAAGCACTCGACTCATCAAGTTTCCTCTTTTTATCCAAAGGAAATAAGGCATTTGTTATCATATTTGTTACTTTAATCTCGTTATCATCCTCGTCCTCCTCTACGCAATCACTATTGTCATCTCCTCTCCAAGTTAATATCATCTGCTTCTTTCCCTTACTATTTTCGCTTTCCTCGTTCTCCCTACAATTATTCTCTCTTCCCTGATTTCCAGAAAATGTTTCCCTTCTCACTCCCTCATATTTAGCATTTCCTTTCCAGTCTGCTCATTCCCTAAATCTCCAAGATTTTCTTTCCCAGTTCGCGGTGCTGGGTTAGCACCATTACGCGGGATCTCCGCTCTACCGTGCGTACCTTTCATCTTTGCTTCCCCGTGCCTCTCCGCCCAATCCTCTGTTCGCAACCTTCTGGACCCCCCCCCCCCCACACACACACACACACATGCTCGACGATCGACGTTCTGCCCGTAAAGAGTTATCATATTGAAACTGTGACTTATCTACTCCCCGGGTTTGAAAGAGCTTTCGACAGAATTTATCAGTATGTCCTAACATACCGCAGTAGAAGAAAAAAATTCCCAGCCGCTCCTATTTAAATGTCACATGAATACATGTTCCTCCTGGCCGTCGAATGTTCATGTTCTTCCTCAGCGGGTTACGTACATCAATACTAATCATAACCTGCATATACTCTCGCCAAATTGAATCATGATTTTTTAGAGTAAACCGAGACAAAAATTCCAATGGCATTTCCAATGTCTCGAATACCTTTCTCTGATCTCAGGCCACCGACTAACCCATGTATTTGCACCCAAATATTTAACTGTGTCAACTCAACTTGTCTTGGGTTTTGTCCCGGTAAGAGTGGCCACATGACAATAGGGCTCTGCATAAAATTCCATGGAGCATCGGCCAGGACTCGCTCATAATCCAATTCATCAAAGAATTTAAAGGCAAAAACATTATTCCCAAGTTCTTTTAGAACCATCCCTTCCATTGGTCGTATAGTGTTTCCCATCGCGTCTTGAAACGATGGAAGCACAACATTCCTATCCGTAAGTACCCGACTGATGATGCAGAATTGCGGATTACCTTCATGATTTTCGTGTGCAGCAACTGTTGGGATTTTAAGCTTGTGTAGCTTAAAGAGGGTGAATGAGAAATGGAGGGAAAATGAAATATTTGAGTTTCCCTTGGCAAAGGGACATTGTCTCATATCAGAGGAAGAAAAATCTTTTGATGGGTATATATATAATTGCTCTTCTTCTAGCTCTTAAAAAGTTAAGAAGAAGGCAAGCCTCGCGCCGTCGTCGTCGTCGCTCGCTCGGCTTCGACTTCGGCTTCGGTCAAAGATTTGGTCAAAGATAGTTTGGGGTATCTCAAACATACCCAAAATTACGCTTTGCATTATAACAAATATCCCTCCGTGATCGAGGGATATAGTGATGCAAGTTGGATCACTAGATCATCTGAAGTTAAATCCACGAGTGGATATGTTTTCACAATTGGGGGTGGAGCAGTGTCTTGGAAATCATCCAAACAAACGTGCATCGCCCGTTCTACAATGGAATCTGAATTCATAGCTTTAGATAAGGCCGGTGAAGAAGCTGAATGGCTTCGGAATTTCTTGGAAGATATTCCATTTTGGCCCAAACCTTTGGCACCTATTTGTATACATTGTGATAGTCAAGC